CCTTTGATCTGCGTGTCTCTCCTTTGTGCTGAGACCCACTGCTCTCTCAGACGGCAGCTATGCAAAGACAGTGCATGTTTTCCACCAGCACACATTTTACTGACCCCAACTGTGAGAGCTGACAATGACAGTGTTACTGATTTCAGAGGCTGCTTTCTAGAGAGGTTTTATTTGCACAAGATTGAAACTTGGTGTCTAGATAAAGTACAAATTACATTGTGCATTTATTCCCTCCTATAATACTTATGAATCTAGTTTTTACAAAACTGTGTTTGGCTTTTGTTTTGGTGACTGTACATTCCAGAAATACAAATTAATTTTCTTGGTGCTGTTAATGGACATAGGTGCAGTACTGTGAAATATGCATGTAAATTATTTGTACTGATTATTTTGAGTTCTCTTTTCATGTAACTTCATTTTTTGAGTAATCTTGTATAATATGATTAAAACTGTGTTATACAAATCCTTATTTATTTCAGAAGTCTGACATTACATGCTCTGGTTCAGAACCAAAGTGAATATTGAAGAATACCTCCATGGTTTTTAGATAGTTGGGCTGAAATATATCATTAATTTTTGTTGGAATAGTAATTTTGACATTATTCTAAGAGCTGGTCTGCTTACTCATGTCCAGTCTATAAATGTAGAAATACATCTCTGTACATCTCTCTGTATTTTAACATATCTTCATTGCTCTTTCCCCATACATGTTGGGTGTATTTTTGGAGACATTTCATAGGGGTTTGTCCAGGTACTTCATGAACATACAATAGAAGATGGAGGCGTCCCATGCCCTGTAGGTTTGTGTTTGCTTATTTTCAATTTCAAGTTGGCTTCTACATTCATAAGTTAAGTTTTGCTAACTATTTTAAAAATATTTGCAATGTGCCTGTCAGCAAAGTCAAATCTCTAATATTTTGGGTATCAGGTATTTGACGCATGTGTGCAGCAGTGAAACTATTACCAAATGAAGGCAGTAAACATGCCCACACTCCCAAGAGCTCCTTTGAACTCAAGTGTCCCTTCTCGCCTCTCTGTGGAGCTATTTGAGGATGTGGTTGAGGGTTTCTAAAGATGATTCTCTGTGACATATACACTGTGAATGTCTTTGAGGTTCCTCATTATATCCAATATCTTTTCAGATCCTTCACACTTTCGTTCTCCTTTTCCACCCTGGGTCTGATGTTTATGAACTTCTGTGGAAGCTTATTCTTCTTGCTGCCTCCTGGGGAGTTTCTAGTTTCCTCTTATTCATCTGGAGGACCGTCTTTGCTGTGAGTATTACTAAAGTACCTGACACTGTCTTTTTAATCACACCTAATAGGAATTTTTATAGTCACTGGACATTTTATTTGCCTGCCTGGGCCAGAATCCAGGAGTCTTTTCTTTGTTTCCTTTTAGATTACTAACTTGAACACAAATTAGTTTTGAAATGGAAATTTGTTGCAAAATCTTTATAGTAAGAACTCATTGAGCAAGACAACAGTATATTCTCAATGAGATAATGGCAATTTATAAACTCTTCTCTTCAATAACAAAACAGGAAGGTTAAGTATTTGGTGAGCCCATCTATCTCTCCACCTGCCCCTGCCTGTGTGTTGGGTGACAGGGGACAGGGAAGCTCAGTGTTCCCGAGCAAGTGTGAAGTTAAGGGAACATCTGTGGTTTTCTGTTTGCCCTCCGTGGATGCATTCTTCTATTGCCACATTATTGCCACTGGAGCTTCGACACTGTGATGATATTCCAATATCTTGGCAAGGTTAGGGGCTGGCCTTAGTCTCTGATCATCACTTAAAGTTTTGAATGAAGAAATAATGTGTTAAGGGTCAGGGAAATGTGTCTTTACACGGTATTAAAGTGGAGTCCTGCCTGGGTTTTACTGAACTATTACTCCTCAGACGATGACTTGTCTCTGAGTCAAGAAGCACGTTCGCTTCTTGAAAATGGTCGCTGTCTGTCCTGCTGCTACGTGTGCTTTTACTACAGCCATTGCTCACTTTCGTTCTCGTCTGATGTCTCATTTGATGTCCATTTGTTTTTAGTGGTCTTGACAAATCTTACGACATATGTTACAATTGCTTATCAATTCAACAGTCAACTCTATAAGATTTCAGAAAACCTTTCATTGAATGAAAGGGGTGCATTTTAATCTTAGTATAAAGATTTTGCCTTTATTTTTCTTTTAGTTTTCTCCTCTCTGTCTCTGTCTCTCTTTTGAAGGTTACACAACAATCCAGGTTCTGGACTTAAGTGGATGTTTGGTCTGACCAAAAAAAAAAAATTAGATAAATGATGCATTACAACAACACATCATGAAAATAATATAGTTCAGTGTTGTTAAATATGAATATGCATTATGAAAATTGAATACAGTGATGTTTATTTAATAGAATGTAAGCAGATCTTTTGTTCTAAAATAAATTATTTACCAGTGTACTATCAGAAATGGTGAGTGAAAGATCATGCCTTAAGTAGGAAATTCTGATTTTTCCTGATTTTTAATCATATTAATTGTTATGCTGAACCAAAGTGATAATTGTGATTTCAATGGATT